CAAACGATAAATTTTATAGATAAATAAACACACAAGTACAATTAGAGAACAATTAGAATAAACAAAGCAGTCATTTAGCTAAATATAGGGAGACAACCCTACGGTGGACGTCTAGTCATTACTCTAACTCACCAACAATACAATCAACTAAACAAACTAAACAATTCCCACCAGGAATAATCTAGCTCATATTAAAGAGAATAACACAACTCCAACTAAGGAGAATAACAACAAAAGACTAGAAAAACACCACCACACTACAACACACACAAAACCCAACAAAACAACACAAAACACCACCACACTACAACATACACACACACACAATAAATAGAATAGTAATCTCCTCTACTGAGGCGAGACAATCCGTAAAACAAATCGCGATTCAACACTAAAAACTACGCGCATTCGGACTGGACTTTGGCTCTAGCACTGCTCCAGAGACTTGTGCGAGGTTTACTTCTTTTTAATTTGGGGCTTTTTTTCTAGAGATAATTTTTTTTATTAATTGGTTTCACTTGATTAAAATCATAAGAGTAATACGCACTAATTTTAAGTTATGGTGGTAATTACATAAATACCCTTGATGATAGTCACCATGATTTTAATCACCACAAATTTTTCACTTCACATATTTAATTTTATTTACTTCATAAGTTGATATAACTATATATATATATAAGTTTCCTGATTTTCTTTAATTTATTATGATAACTAACTCCACAAACGAGTGGATTAATTATGTTGTAAATAAGGGTACATGAAGAAATTACAAATAAATCTACCTAAAATTACTAAATAAGATTACTATATGAAGACAAAATTCATTGTTCTTGTTATCTAATTAGTTATCTTGCCCATTACACGAGTTTGAACACTAAAAGCTAATTCAAATCCAATCAAAATTGTTAATTTTTTTTTTTTTTTTTTATTATGAAATTAAAAGGTACAATTAACGTAATTTTTATTTGTCTTGCTCATTACACGAGTTTGAAAAGCTAATTCAAATCAAATCCAATCAAAATTGCTGTTTTTTTTTTAATTATCATAATTTTGTAGTCTTTTTTTTTAGCCAGTCACAGTATTTGGAGCTATGCCCCGACAATCCGTTGGTCGACCCGGATCGCATACCTAGCAGTCGTGGGTGAGTCTCCCAACAAAGGTTTTCAGAACCCGAACCCAAGATCTTATTTAAGGGATATCAAACTGCTTACAACTTGAGTCAACTCTATTGGTATAATTTTTTAGTCTTTGAGCAGCACGTGGACGGATTGTATACGAACATGTAGAGGCCAGAGGGGCTAAATTAATAATTTTATGAATTTGAATTTTGGGGGGTGGCAAAGGGGCTCGCTCCGAGCCTCCCCTTCATTTATGGTCCATCTTTGTTTATTTAATGTTCAGTCCACAACTTTTCATATTTAATATTTAACTACCCTGCCACTTTCTGCACGACCTTGTTGTCCACATTTAGTGATGATCAGAAAAAAGGCCCAATTTAAAGATTAAATTTATAGCATAATGAATGACTTGGTTAATTGCAATGGTGCCCTCCTATTTTGATACATTTTGATCCATGGCATGAGAAGAAGCCTCGGGAATGAATACATCACTAATGGCTATGATTTTGTAGATATTCTCTCGCTTGGATCAATCAATAAATATATAATTGCATAATAGTATGTATACTTTGTCATCAATTTCTTTGCATTTATAGTAGTATTACTTTGTACTACAACAAACCGGTTCATAGTTCATGGTTAAAAAATTGTAAAATATTGAATTATGTTTTTGATAGTTTGTAAAAAATGTAGAAGAATATATAATGTATGTAAGTCAATAATTAGTAAACAGTATAGATAAATAGAAGAATGAAAGTTAAATACTAAATATAAGGTTATAATTGTAAATTAAAAAATCTTTACTATGCATGGAATGACACATATTCCGTAAATATATGCGGTATGTCATATTAAAATGTCATATTATATGAAACAACGGAAATAAAATTTTATAATATTTTATATATGTTTTTATTTAAAAAATATGACAGGTTGAATCGTTTCACAGCTTATATTTGAATATGTATATAAGAGTGCATATGCGTCGGTCCAAATAAAAGGTTGGAGATTAATTTAGAAATCATTTATGCTTTTATCATTTATGCAACATGACGATCGTGACCAGCCAGGAGACGATTCCGGCATTTAGGCTTCATTCTTTCAGCGAGGACCTTGGTTAATTTGGTTATGGGACGCAAGGACGTGGGTGGGACCCACGACAGTCTTGTTCGGGCTATACGAGAATTGCGGGATCGTGATTGGTCGGTGCAATTTGATCATGTGTTTCGGAAAGTGAATTTCCCTGCGGATCATTTGCCTCTTTAGCAGCGTCCGAACCCTTAGGGTGCATCATCTACATGTCCCGCCACCATCCGTCGCTCGATTGCTTGAACATGATGTTATTGGGGTGGATTACCCCGTCGCGTTTTAATTTAGGATTCGTCCGGCCGGGGCCTCCTTTTATTGTACTAAAAAAAAACAATTGGATGATAAATTGAGATATCGTAATGTTATCTTATCTTATTTTATCATAAATATGCAAACAAGCTAAAAAATAACTAAAATTTCCATAATTTTCATATCATGTTTTCGAATCATACCGTATTATGCTCATCGTATAAATTGTAGAGTGGTTAAACGAAACGAGTCACTCGTGAACTTAGCTCGTTTGATAAACAAGTCAATCTCGAGCTTCATTTAGAGTTCATTTAGTTAACAACGCGTCAACTTGATAAATCTCGTTGAGGCTTGAAAATATAAGTTTTTATACACTTTTATTGTTGAGCTACTTAAAGCTCAAGTTCGCCTCAATGTCGACTCATTAATATTAATAAACGAATCTAACTGGAGCGATATTATTAACTCATATTTTCCAATTGCATGAGTATTTCCCATATTGTTGTATACTTTTAAATTTTACGCAATGGCGAACTGTAAATAACCAAGATGAAAGGTGGTAATATACAAAATCGCCGTCTTGGCTACAATTTTTTTTTTTTTTTTTTTTTCGT